AATTTGGTTATTTTCACATTAAGTAATGCACCTACCACAAGATTCTGTACACCTCACTTGGTTGACTGGTAGAGAATGCCTCGGGCATTAAGTCCGCCATTGTACCTTTGTGCATGAAGTTAAATAAATAAATAAAATAAGTCCACTGCTGGACACATACTACATTCAAGTTTCGCCACAACTGACCGATCCACAAACATCTTGTGTAATTTCATTAAAATAATTATTCTACTTAGTTCTTATTCTATAATTTTTGAGTTTTGCATCCGTGAAATGCACTGAACCGTTTAAGACAGGGGGTTATCAAAGAAATATGAGATTACGACATCCGGTTAACGTACACAGTACGATACAACTTTGCTAAGGGGATATGGAATAGCAAAATTGTATTAAAAATAATAATGTAATAAGCCCGCACAGGTCGGTACCACCATCCTGCTATTTTTATAGCGAAGCACTTGTGCTTTACCTCCGGTAACCACTTAACGCCAGATGGACCGTGAGATCGTTGAAGCATCCAAGAAAAATAAAAAAATTGGTTGTCTTTAGGTAGGTATAACGTCATGGATGATGATGTCATAAAGAAACATTGATAAAAAATTGCAAACCTTTATGAATTGAATTGAATTACTATAACTGAATTATCATTATTGTGTATCATACAAAGAAGTTTTTTTATTATTTCCCTTGTAGGCAGACGAGCATGCGGCCCACCTGATGGTGAGCGATTACCGTCGCATATGGACATCAGCAGTGCCAGGGGCAGAGCCAAGCCGCTGCCTACCGCTTAATACTCTTAACCGCTTAACACTTGGGCCGTTAGTGCTTCTCTATCGCTTGTTCCGCGCTCTCGCTTGCACACTCATACCCAGGCGGAACGTGACACTTTTTCGTGCATGGAGCAGGTGTTCATCGATTTATAATACTTTATCACGTCGAAAGCAACGTGTCTCTTTTAATACCTTTTAATACCAGATGGATTGTCGACTCGTCACTCGTAAATCACTGTGGTTCAAAGTTTCGTTCGCTTATCGTGTGACACATTCAATATTGCAAGAGTTAGAACAGCGAAAGACGCCTATGTGGTACTATCACGTTGGAGCAAAACAAACTGTAAAACTCCGAGTACCCGTTGCAGACAGAAACTTGAGCGAAATATCTTAGCATAATTAGCCGGAAGGGGCCGTTTATTGCTAATATTAGTTGTAAGGATTAACGAACGATTACTTAAAATGTTTATTTGTGTATTCATAATTCTTTTTCGTTTCCGTGGAAAGTATTCGTTTTGGGAGATTAGCCTGATCCATTAACGGTACTTTTAGGCATGACAAGCACCGGTCACCGTCCTCGTCGAACCCGTCGCTTGCGACGAAGCGAACTAACCCATAGACACAGCCCACTGAGTTTCTCGCCGGATCTTCTCAGTGGGTCGCGTTTCCGATCCGGTGGTAGATTCTGCGAAGCACTGCTCTTGCTAGGGTCAGTGTTAGCAACTCTCCGGTTTGAGCCCCGTGAGCTCACCTACAAACGTTAGGGTGAAGCTGAAGTAGCCTCTCAAGGCTATCAGCATAGGTAGGTTTTTTTTATTGGTGTCGACTGGCAGACGAGCCGCAATCTATCTGTGTGCTCAGTGTGAGTTTTTTAACGTTTTCGATAGCGTAAAAGTTAACTCAAATTTGGATGCAGTTGGAACAGCGCCCCTAGCGACAAACGTAGGTAAACTTTTCAACTCCACACAATTTTTACGCTATAAAGAACGTAATAATTGTAAATAGGCATGCTATATCAAAAACCGACTTCAAATTGAAAAAAAAAAGATATTCCAAAACAAATTAATATATACTAAAAAGAATAATCATCGAAATCAGTTGGCTATTGAGTTACTCATCTATTTGTCGCGCACGTACTTAATGCAAATTTAAGACTTATTTTATTATGGTTTTCTCATGGATACCATTACCAGAAGTGGACTAAATTGAAATGGGACCACACGGGGAGGGTCAGCTTTCTAATTAAAAAAGAATCATCAAAATCGATTCACCCAGTCAAAACTTATACATAAAAAAACAACATACAGTCGAATTGAGAATCACCTTTTATGAAGTCGGCTAAAAACTCGCACTAAGCACATCAGTGTTAAGTGGAAACTTTTATACAACACAGCGTTTTTTTCGTCACCGACATTGAGACGGTCCTACTTTGCAGGCTGGTTCGCATGATTGCTTCGTCACAGAAACATGTAGTATGGTACCTATCCATGTACAGTATTTTATGTGCTTCTTTATACATAACGTTGCTGATACAAACATTACCTATTTGAAATTGAGACACAATGATTTTTCTGAAGTGCATACATGTTATCAAGCGATTATCTAAATCGCGCTGCACCAGAACATACAAGTTTAGACAATTTTATAAAAGTTTACAAGACTTGGTTCAAGGTACCTAACTTCATTACGTCGACGTCATTTAGGGCCAATATACAACGATTAGCCACATATGACGTCATGTCTTGTGACTGATGTTAAGCTTGACCTGCTTTACAGTGTCCTCTTCGCGTGGTCTCCCTTATTACCTATGGTCGTAATTTTCCTGATGAAGATTACTTTTTCTTTAATGATGCTCAAACTGATGTCATAGAGAGTATCATGCAGCTTGCTTTTGAGAATTGGACGAATTTGATCGGACCATCTGATTGGTCTGCGAATTGCAGTATTAATTGTTAATATTCAAGAACTAGCTGACCCGGCAGACTTAGTAGTGCCTCAATCGAGAAATAAAAGACCTAAACTTTTACATAAAATAAACTTAAAAAAAAAACAAAAGGAATCCGTCCGACGGGGGACACTTCAAAGGAAAAACAAAATTGTTATTTTTATTTAATACCGAGCGTTTTCATATTTATCTACCTTTTAAACCTTCTCTGGACTTCCACAAATAATTCAAGACCAAAATTAGCCAAATCGGTCCAGCCGTTCTCTGTTTTAGCGAGACTAACGAACAGCAATTCATTTTTAAATATAATATATAGATAATAGATAATCAGGGATAAAACCATCGTTCAATTTTAATTAAAAAAGTTTTAAGATTTTTATTATTATTGACCTTAGCTATTCTGCGCCTATGCGCACAACAGACAGGAACAAAAACACATCAAGATAAATCCAATTAAAAGGCAAAATCGCACACACTTAAGACAGCCAGCTTAGTATAAACCGCAATACGTATTGGTGGAACACAGTATTCGAATGCAGAAATCCGAAAACATCGCCCCCGTACCGCCCCCGACACCCCCTCATAAGACACCCCAGTCTGGATGGAGGATGCGGGCAAATCTTCGAATTAATTTTACTGCCGAAATATGCAAATTACGAGATATAGCCGCCTAATAACATGTACAAAAGAGTGGTGACTCCGACGCGAGAAACGCACAGATTAGTTGAGCAGAAAATTGTTTTGATTTTTCTGTTCATTTTGACCGATGTCTCTTAGAGGGAATTTAATTGTTTGTAGTTGAATGAACTCTTTTATATTCGATTATGTATTTAATATCACTAGTCTTTTCAATTAATTACGTTACTTGTTAGGATAACTTAGGAAACTACTAAATAACTTAGGAACGTTAGGAAAACTAAATGTTCTCCACAGATCGTCCCAGTAATTGCCAGATTTTTTTTTGAAGTACCAATAGCTTTCGCTCGATCACCAAAAGACAAACACACAAACATATTTATTTATGTATCATCTATTATTTTAATGATTACTTACTCACTTTTTATATTTAGTAGAATTACAAACTTTCATCAATATCCTAAGTTTGATTGAATATTATCCTCACCATTGGATGAAGGCTATTTGGCAATCAATCTTTTAATATAGTGAGTACAAATACCAAAACGAATTTCCTTTATTTTAATAGGTAATACATCAAAGAAGCCGAAAACAGGAACATCTGAACGATATTCTATGAGTTAATCGTTGCCTCAGGCTAACATTATAGCCGCTTCGAAGAGCTTAATAGGTTACAAAATTTACCGTGATAGTAGAAAATACACGGCGCTTACGTGCCAACCTTTCAGTAGAATTATCAGCTTCTATTAGATTTCAGGTGTTTGTCTGAAGACCTTATATAAAGGTTTATTGAAGAGGGAAAATTAATTTTCGTAGGTTAAAGGATTAAATATTACCCGGAGTCATTCGGTATTTTTGATTACCTCAAATTGCTAATTTTTAAGTCATTAAGATCCTAAAGGAAGTTTTTCTGTTTATTTCGTTTTGTTATCAGGGTCGTCCATGCGACTGTCTTGTGACACCAAAGTTTTATTTCCACTGAACTATCCACATACCTGTTAAGAAATTATGCGGATCCTGAAGTCTTTGAAATACCTTAACACTGCGCGACGTTATAACCGTAATGTCTTGTGCTTAGTATTAAAGTATTGAAATTGTTTGTACAGTTTTTGTTTGCCAATTTATTTCTATTTTCACTCTTTTTGCTTACGTTGGAATAGCACGACCGATTAACCCGATCCCGTGGACCGAAACCCAATCCTGAGGACCGAATGGTAAACAGTCGCTGCCGCCCTAAACACGTCATTACGAATCTTCCCGATCCATGAACGGTGCTTTTAGGTACCTCAAGCACCGGTCACCGTCCTCGTCGAACCCGTTGCTTGCGACGCAGGGTTCGATTAGTGAATTAACCCATAGACACAGCCCACTGAGCTTCTCGCCGGATCTTCTCAGCGGATCGCGTTTCCGATCCGGTGGTAGATTCTGCGAAGTACTCCTTTTGCTAGGGCCAGTGTTAGCAACACTTCCGGTTTGAGCCCCGTGAGCTTACCTACACGTTAGGGTGAAGCTGAAATAGCCTCTCAAGGCTATGAGCGTAGGTAGGAAAAAAAACGATTAAGCGCAGTTGTGGTCCATTTAACGTAAATCTCATCACATCACGAATCAACAGTTTTTTAACTAATCCGTCAAACTATTCCAAGACTTACTTGCAAAGCACGGTTTGACTGCCAGAATCGAAGAGTCCACCGCGACCCCATCTCGAAGGTAGTTCAGCTATAGTGACACCTTGAGTACCCCAGACGCAGATTCTGCTACCACAGCTGCTCATCATCACCCGTTCCACCTCGAATGAAGGGGGAGTCAGGAAGTGTAGTTGCTGAAAGAAAATCCTTCATTATTTACTTAATTCGAGCAATGAATAAGTATTGAATAAGTATTTTTTTAGATATGACTGTAACTGATCTATTTTCTTGAGTTCGTAACATAATAAAATTGTTTTAATCGCTTTTATCACCGTGAATATTTAAAAAAATATCGAAAGCTTTTTACTATCCCAATGACCGAATTAACTCGTGGCCGAGCTCGTCCGTGATTATCCGTCCTGGTGGAAGTGGAGATGCCTGTGGACCACTAGCGATCTTTCCATTCCAAAGATCGGACTAATTCGGGTGGATGCACGTATCTAAGTATCCATAAGTAATTATGACTTTCCAAAAAGGCACGCCACTTGCATTGTAATAAAGATAAAGTACAAGCTCAGGTTTAAACCAGAAAATATTTTATATGACCCATTTAAATGGGGTAATGAAGTCATATTAATTGAATGCTCAGTTTCCAGTAAAGACAAAGGGCGGATTGCATCTACATGGTTGATGCCTAAAAAGTATTATATTTCAAAATGCTTTTAAATGAAAATGCTATTTTTACTGACGGTAGGACCCCTTGTGAGTCCGCGCGGGTAGGTACCACCACCCCACCTATTTCTGCCGTGAAGCAGTAATGTGTTTCGGTTTGAAGGGTGGGGCAGCCGTTGTAACTATACTGAGACCTTAGAACTCATCTCAAGGTGGGTGGCGCATTTACGTTATAGATGTCTATGGGCTCCAGTAACCACTTAACACCAGGTGGGCTGTGAGCTCGTCCAACCATCGAAGTAATAAAAAATAAAATAAAAAATCATTTATTGAACCAGGACGTATTTTTCTTTCACTGCACAGAATGGTAACAAACAGACTTGCTAGTTTATCGCACGTCTCTATATGAATATTCAAAATAAATAAAAAACCTCAAAGATATCAGCCAGAACACCAATACGAACTATCCTGAGACGAGTCGACGTCCAGGAAATATTAGATTAGGAAACTTTTTTAATCAATAAAAAGATGAAAAAGGCAACGATGGAGGCTTCTCTTGGCTTCCGTCTCTTAGGGGCTCGTATTTATATTCAAGATGGTTTAACAAAATATAATTTTAAAGAAGAAATTGTGAAGAGTTTGTCATTTAAACCACCATCACCTTCTGTGACCCCTACACCCGAGCCCGGAGATCTTGTAGGCGAATAAATACATACAAAGATACAGAAATAAAATGATTTTATTAATCTTAGTCGTCGTGGTCTAGAGGATAAGACGTCCGGTGCATTCGTGTTGAGTGATGCACCGAATCTCAGGCGGGTACCAATTTTTCTTAAGAAACACGTACTCAACAAATGTTCACGATTGACTTCTACGGCGAAGGAATAACATCGTGTAATAAAAATCAAATTCGCAAAATTATAATTTGCGTTACTGGTGGTAGGACCTCTTGTGAGTCCGCGCGTACCTATTTCTACCGTGAAGCAATAATGCGTTTCGGTTTGAAGGGTCGGGGCAGCCGTTGTAACTATACTTGAGACCTTAGAACTTATATCTCAAGGTAGGTGGCGCATTTACGTTGTAGATGTCTATGGGCTTCAGTAACCACTTAACACCAGATGGGCTCTGAGCTCGTCCACCCATCTAAGCAAAAAAATAATTAATTTCATAAAATGATTTATTTGTCATGACCTTTATATTAAAACAAAACCCATTTTAAACTCAATTCACTGTTAATTAGATCGACCAATGTAGAGTTATTTAATCAATTCAAACAAATGAACGTGAATTGAGGTATTGTGACTCAATTGAAGAATCATTGATTTACTACAGTTATGGGCTGAGCAGTTTCAGTCCATCTGTTCATCATCAGGGATCTGATTAGGGAACCAGGGATCCACTAATGCTAACCAAAGGCTTTGGTATCTCCAGGGACTTCTTACAAACCCGATACTATTAAAGTGGGTACGGAACATCGACTTTTTACTTTCCAGAACGTTCTTGACGGTACTTTTTCGCCTTATTTCTCATTACAGCAAGCCGCCTTGGCTCGTTCCCTCTGACGTCACACTTATAATCATTTACCGTTTGACGGCCTCTGCGCGCGGAAATTGAAAAAGTTGCCTCGATCGAGGATAGAGATAGCCGTGATCGTGAATGGAAAATCGCGATGACCCGTGCAAAGATATTCATTACATGGCGCCGAAAATTACCTAAAAATAATCCCGAAAGAGTTAGGCTGCGTTTTTTTGGATTTTTTTATTGCTTATATGAGTGTACGAGCTCACAGCCCACCTGGTGTTAAGTGGTTACTGGAGCCCACAACGTAAATGCGCCACCCACCTTGAGATATAAGTTGTAAGCAAGTATAGTTACATGGCTTTTATGCGTATTTGAGTGTAGTTTTAAGTCTTTGTTGGGATGTCCGGAACAATCTATCAATCGTAAAGAAATCTTTTTGTATTCTCATAACTAATAACATAATTTTGTATTCTCATATCTGTAGGCAGCGGCTTGGCTCTGCCCCTGGCATTGCTGAAATCCATGGGCGACGGTAACCACTCACCATCAGGTGGGCCGTATGCTCGTCTGCCTACAAGGGCAATAAAAAAAATTATAGCGATCACGATTTAGTTGTACATTTGAAATATGAGATAATTATTTGTGAAAGTTATTAAGATTTCTGACTGAATTTTAATATTTTAAATCATCTTTCTATTTGAATTGGTAGGATGAGCGCGATATGTATCCATTTTGTGGTTTCATTTGACTTAAAAGGTTACAAAGAAATTTCAGACATTCTCACGAGTGATCGATTTTTTTATTGCCTTTGTAGGCAGACCAGCATACGGCCCACCTGATGGTAAGTGGTCACCGTCGCTCATGGACGTCAGTAATGCCAGGGGCAGAGCCAAGCCGCTGCCTACCATATACGGAATACGATATATGTTACCATAATTACGGTTAATTATTTACCTCGAGATCATACGTACACTCAACAGTTTTCCGATAAAAAAAGTATTTTCAATCATCAAAACCCAGTTTACAAAGGCCTCACATAAAATACCCACACAAGCATAACCATCGACCGCTCTGATTCATAAAAAACCGGGAAATTTTTCTCGTGCATTCGTCCCCCCTAACAATGGAAGGTCCAAGAGCGGTCAAAGAGGCGGCCGCATAAATCGTCGGTTGGAACCTCCGACGTTTCCGAACTGTGGAGTCCACGGGAGATGATAACGCCATTGGATTCGCCTTTGCTATGTATAGCGTTTAATGATTCAAAATAAGGTTAGATGAAATATTTATTATCTTCTTTTTTATAATTGACGTTCTGAGACCGAATTTCTGCTGACGTTTTTACGTTTGAAACTAAGAGTCGTGATAGATAAAACCGTAATATCGTGTACACTCTATTTTCTAATTAAGATGAGTTCTTAGTAAAATAGAAAGTCAAATTGACGCTTCAATTTGGAAATGGATTTTGAGTAAGATAAAAATGTACACATTTTTAAAGGGTGCTTATATTTTTTGGGTTTAGATAAAATATATGTCAACTAGTATTGGTCACTTACAAAGTGTTTTATTGCTTAGTTAAATGGTCACCCGGAGCCCATAAACATCTACAACGTAAATGCGCCACCCACCTTGAGAAATAAGTTCTAAGGTCTCAAGTATAGTTACGACGGCTGTCCTACTCTTCAAGCCGAAACGCATTACTGCTTCACGGTAGAAATGGCCGGGGTAGTGGTACCAACCCGTGCGGACTCACAAGATGTCCTACCACCGGTGAGTTAATTTTCGTATCTTAGATCAACAAAAGTAGTATAGCATTCATTCGAAGAACATCTAAACAAATCTAAAGGGTTAAAGTTCACGAAACGCGGTAAAAAGCGTTGTTTTTCTTCATTTTAATATGAAAAAACATTAATAAAACGTTTTTTTTTTTTTTATTATTCCATTCACGTAGGTTTGTATCGCGATCGGTGCCGGGGACAGATAGGTTAGCTTGTATTATATATTTTTAAAACGTTGCTCTGCTAAACGTGACCCGACGGACGTTCCGGAAGATTCCACAATCCGTTGCATTTATTTGTATTATAATTATTTTTTTTTATTTGATATAAAACCGCGCGAGAGCCGAGCTGAATATTAATGGGGATCGGATAAAGGATCGGTTAGGACGATGTTGGTGCGAGTTTTTTGATATGCTTTTTTTTTTGTAATTAGATTAGGATTTAGTTTACTTTGAATAACTTATCTCCGCGTTATGGTTTCAGAAAAGTTTTACAAATCGTCTTTTCGCATTAAAAGTGCACAATTTCCAAAAATATTCGAAATTGAGTTAATATGCGGAATCATTTGATATCATCAAAAGTACTTTTCTCATAAATACTGTCAAAGAGCGTAGTTTAGTTTTTAGTTTTTTTAGTTTACCTATGTTTTGACGACTATTAATTAACAAAAGTAATACATTATTTTATCTTACTTTAAAAGACAGATAATGTAACTGGTAAAAAAATGCGGTGCAACGGTGATTAATATTAATAATACCACATGTTAAACCTTTAAAACGCTCCACTGTAAAATTAGTAAGTTTTGAGATTATACAGTTTTAATGCGAGAAGACGCAATATTGTTGTCATTGATGGTTCATCTTATGCCTATGAAGTTATCGGTATCCATAGACAAGGCAATGTGAAAATTACGACTTACATTGGAACACAAAAAAGTCTCATTTTTCGTAACCACTGTTGTGATTTGAAAATCGATGAAACGATAAAGCGACACTATAATGAGACAGCATACACGTCTATAGGACTTATCGTGTGGAAGAATGAGATGCAGCACTCTAATAAATACGAACTGCACGCGTGTCTGTTTTTACACTGCTTCACTGTAGATATTATTTTACTGGTGGTAGGACCTCTTGTGAGTCCGCGCGGGTAGCTACCACCACCCCGCCTATTTCTACCGTGAAGCAGTAATGCGTTTCGGTTTAAAGGGTGGGGCAGAAGTTGTA